AGCTGTGAAAGCCCGGCTACGCAAGCAAATGAAGGTGCCTGAACTCCACATCTACTCAGGAATTGCTCGGCTGAAAGATCCAGTTATTTCATACAGCTTTCTGAAGAGATCCGCCTTGGATCAGCCCACATGTCATTTCTGCTACAGGAATAATGATATGCTGCTTTATGGTACGAGTACCTTCTTAACACCAAAGCCTCTGCACCGAGTGAGGCCCCTTCGTCCGCAGGGCTTCCAGCTGCCACACTGGCCCGGCAAAATGCGGGCAGAACACAACATCACCGCACTTGGGCATTATTTCCCTGGTGTTTGTCTCAGCGTCAGACACGCTCGCACGCAGGAAGATAGTTGCTCTCCTGCTTTCCAATGAAGCTTCCGTGGTCTCACACACCCCCGAGGAGGGGCAGGGCTCAGCCCAGCCCTGCCTAACCGCGTTCCCGATTAGCCCAAGTCCCCCCGGGCGCCCCCGTGCCCTTCCCTGGCCCGGCTGCGCCGTCGCGGGTGGAGCCGCGCCGCGTGTTGGCGGCGAGCCCCGAGCAGCTCCCGGGTTAGACGGCGGCAGCCACCGGGTCCGGGTGGGCAGGGAGGCGCAGGGTGGTCGGGGAGGGAGCGGCTGTTCCAGGCGGCCCCGGCTCGGGGACAGGGGGTCTTTGCGGCTCGCACCGGACAGGGGCCCAGCCGGTAGTCGCCGACGTCCGCCGGCTGGCCGGGCTCCGGACCGCCCGCCGAGGCAGCGGCGGCACAGGGCCGAGAGCACCCGGGACCGCTGCCCGCAGCACCGGTGGGCGCACGTCGGAGCCAGCCCGCTGCCACCCAGGCCCCGGGGGGAAGCGATGGAGAGAAGGCTCCGGGAGGTTGCAGGAGAGCCGGAGGCGCGTCCAGCGGCCCCCTGACACCCACGGCCATCCCCGCCGTCGGGCCGGCGAGAGTTGCCGTCGGGCCCCGGCTTCGGTGCCGCCGCCCCCCCGTCCCCCCAGGCACACCCCCGGGGGGGAAGGTCCCGGCGGCACCCCCTCCCCGCAGGCCCCCGGCTGTGTCCGGCGCGGTGCAGCGGGGCGGGGCGCGGAGGGCGGGCGGCGGGGCCGGCGCGGTGGCGGGGGCGGGTGGGGTTTCCGTGCGCGGCGCTTATTAGTGTGGTGATGGAGGACCGGCCCCTCGGAGCCGCCTCGCAGCGGCGGCGCGGGCTGGCGGCAGCCGCCGGGAGGTGAGCGGCGGCGGCGGCTCGGGCGGAGGAGGCGGAGGAGGCGGCGGGGCCGCCCCTGCCGTGCCCCATGCGGGCGGCGGGGCGGCGGCGGCGGCGCTGAGGGCGATGTCGGAGGCGGGAGGCGCGGGCGGGGCGCGGGCCGCCGTGGAGCGGCTCTCGGAGGCGGTGGGCGAGCGGCGGCGGCAACTGGGCACCGCCATGGGGGAGGCGCGGCGGCAGCGGCGGCTGCTGCTGATGGTGGTGTGCGTGGCGCTGCTGCTGGACAACATGCTCTACATGGTCATCGTGCCCATCATCCCCGACTACATCGCGGCCATGCGTGGCGGCGGGGGCGCCGCCGGCCCGTCCGCGCCCGCGGGGGGCAACGGGAGCGGCGGCGGCAACCGGAGCCTCCTGCCGGCGCGGTACCCGCCGGCCACGGGAGGCAACGAGGACGTGCAGATCGGGGTGCTCTTCGCCTCCAAAGCCATGCTGCAGCTGCTGGTGAACCCCCTCAGCGGCACCCTCATCGACCGCGTGGGCTACGAGGTGCCGCTGCTGGCCGGGCTGGCCGTCATGTTCCTCTCCACCGCCACCTTCGCCTTTGCCGAGAACTACGCGACGCTGTTCGCGGCGCGCAGCCTGCAGGGGCTGGGATCGGCCTTCGCGGACACCGCCGGCATCGCCCTCATCGCCGACCGCTACGCCGAGGAGCCGGCGCGGAGCCGCGCCCTGGGCACGGCGCTGGCCTGCATCTCCTTCGGCAGCCTGGCCGCACCCCCCTTCGGCGGCGTCCTCTACGAGTTCGCCGGCAAGCGGGTGCCCTTCCTGGTGCTGGCCTGCGTCTGCCTCCTCGACGGGCTGCTGCTGCTGGCCCTGGCACCGCCCGGCGCCACCGGGGCACGGGCCAACATGCCTGTCGGCACCCCCATCCACCGCCTCATGGTCGACCCCTACATCGCCGTGGTGGCAGGGGCCCTGGCCACCTGCAACATTCCCCTGGCCTTCTTGGAGCCCACCATCGCCAACTGGATGAAGGATTCCATGGGGGCCAGCGAGTGGGAGGTGGGCCTCACCTGGCTGCCCGCCTTCTTCCCCCACGTGCTGGGCGTCTACGTCACCGTCCGGCTGGCTGCTGCGTACCCCCACCTTCAGTGGTTCTACGGGGCCCTGGGCATGGCCATCATCGGCGCCAGCTCCTGCTTGGTGCCAGCCTGCAGGAATTTCGGGCAGGTCATCATTCCCCTCTGTGGCATCTGCTTCGGCATCGCCCTGGTGGACACAGCCCTGCTGCCCACCCTGGCTTTCCTGGTGGACGTGCGCCACGTCTCTGTCTACGGCAGCGTCTACGCCATTGCAGACATCTCCTACTCGGTGGCGTACGCCCTGGGGCCCATCGTGGCTGGCCAGATTGTGCACACCATGGGCTTTGCACAGCTCAACCTGGGTATGGGGCTCGCCAATGTGCTTTATGCCCCCGTCCTCCTCTTTCTCAAAAACGTCTGCCAAATGAAACCCTCTCACTCTGAGAGGAACATCCTCCTTGAGGAAGGACCTAAGGGACTCTATGACACCATCAAAATGGAGGAGCGCAAAGGCAAAGGCAAAAGCCTGCAGCTAGCGGGTGAGATGGATGAGAATGGCATGGACTCATACCACAGGGACCTGAAAGGGGTGTCTGAGGAGGACTCATCGGACTATGAGTACAGTTAGATTTCCCCCATGCAGCCCAGCCCCACGAGCAAGGAAGGACATGTGGAGGAGAGAGAGGGAAAGGGGGGGATGACAGTGTTACTGCATTATGTTTCTGTACTGATGTGCAATATATACAGTTTAACCTTTGTCATGATGTAATGGCTTTCTTCTAGATTTATTTTTAATTGGTATTTCTTTCAGCATTCTGGCAAAGTGGAGGGGTTGGGGAATGGGGGGACAATACTGAAGAAAGTTATCGGAGTAATCATTGCCATAAATCTGAGGGGATCCTTCCAAAAAACCCGCCAAAAAGAAAACAAAAAACTCATCAGCCTTTTAGCTGGGGTATAATTGTGCAGAGTGTCCTCAAGCTGAAACTGTGTGTGACATACTGTATATCTCTGTAAAAAATACAAGAAAAGCAAAAAAAGTATGTGTAAAATTTCAAATGGCTTATTCAGGGACTTAAGAAATCTTGTGTACATATACTCAGACTTTCAGTTGGTTTCATATATTTAAGAGCAACAACTGTCACACTGTCACATTTTATTCTTCCTTGAGAATAAACTGAAGTATTGTACTTTTTTTTCTCTCTTGTGCTGCTCTCCAGTAAGTGCAATATGCTGTATTATGTTGAAGTCCAAATTACAAGAATAATACAATCTGAATAAATGGAATTGAAGGGGATCGATTGTCTTTTGTTTTGTTGTTGAGGGCTGCTTGAGGGAGGGAGCTGGTTGTGCTCGTTGTAACCCCTGTGGTAACAATTCCCCATAGCATCTATCGCAGTAGCTACCAAAATTGCACAGAAGAGGACCCCAATACAAAATGTTCTCATTCATTCTTCACAACATATCAGGTCTCAGCAAACAACATCGCACTGCAAACACGCTACCGATTGCCTAAAAACAGCTCCTTGTATTCTTATGCGAATTTAATTTAATGCCCACAATGATGAATTTCAATTTTTGAGTATTTAAAAAATTACATGACCAGCAGTTAAGAGACACAATACTAGAAAATGCCTTTCGTGGTGTTAACGCTGCCCCAATTGCAACGTGTCTGCCTGGGTTGACAGGGATTAAACAAAACAAAAGATGGGTGAAGTACTTCATTCAAACATTTACAAAAAGTGGAAACCTTCGATCTAACCACAACGCAACCAGACTGCATAGTTTTCCTTGCAAATTTCTGTTGATATGAAATAAAATCGTTTATTTTAATACCTAGTTTATTAGGAAACAAAATAAATTACTTGTAATCTCAAGAGAGAAAGAAAAAATTTACAAACGGCCACAGCGCCTGCTTAAGGGCTCCCACCCGTCCCTGGGGATCCGGGCGCCGCGAGGGACCCGCGGACTCACGGCCGGTGGGTTTTCCTGGGCTGCGCGGGACGCGCGGCCCCGCAGCTCCTGCCGGAGCGGGCGAGTCGCTGCTTACGCGGCGCAAAACTCATGAAAACAGCACGACGGCTCTTTGGCACAGGGGTTTGGCGAAGGAGCGATGGCCTCCGCGGTGGGAGGTGAGCCTCGCTTCCCTAAACCGCAGCCGCTTCTTTGCGGTAAGCGGCCACAGCGGTGCCGCCTCCGGTCCGCCGCCCGCGCTCCCGCTACTGCTGCCGGCCCCGGCGCAGCTCCCGCAGAGCCCGGACCCCTCCCGGCACCGCTGCCGCCCCGTCGCAGCTTCCACCCCTCCCGGCCCTGGTGCCGGCAGCCCACCGGCAGTGCCGCCCGCCCCTGTGCGGCCGCGGAGCCTTCAGGAGCCGCAGATGCCCCGCGGCGACACTGCTCGGCAATTGCGACAACCCCCGTGGCAACGCGGGTCAGCGAGCGCAGTGACCCCTCGCAGTCCCCTCGCGGACCCCTTTTCCCCGCCGCACAGGGAGCCTCTCGGCTGACCCCGACGGCGGTGAGAGCACGGGCGAGCCCGGCCCTGCCCGGCTCCCCCCGCCCCCCTCACGGGACACGGCGGGCACGGGGCGAGCTGGCGCCGGTGCAACCGGCGGGCACAGCCTCCCGCACGGGCGGAACAGGCGCGGGGGCAGCGCAGCCACCAACGCCTGTTGCGCGCAGCGGGAGGGGCGGGTAGGGTAGGGCAGGGCAGGGCAGGGCAGGGCCGGGCGGCGCGGGGCGGGGAGGAGCCAGGCAGCGGCGGAGACGAGCCGCCCTCCGCACGCCCCCGCCCAGAGGGGACCTGGCCGCGGAGGAGGCGGCGGTACCTTGGACAGAGCCGCCGCGACTCGAGAGCCCGCCCGGCAGCCGCTCCGGAGCGCCCCGACGAGCAGGTACGGGCGGGCGGGCTGCGCGCCCCGCGCCTCCCGCTGCTCCGACGGCGCGGATGCAGGCGCCGGGAGAGCCAGGGGCTTGGGAGCGGGGAAAGGGGGCGGCGGGTCCCCCGGAGCGGAGCCGAGCGGGCTCCCCTTGCCGAACTCCGCGGCTCTGGCGGCACCCACGGGGCCGCTTCGTTGCCGCCGCCCGCGTGTCCCGCCGCGACGGGCGGTTTGGGAGGGAAGGGGCGCCCCTGGGACTAAGGCTCGGGAAGGGCTCGGGACGCGCTGGCAACCTCCGGCGGAGCGTGGGCGCTCCCCGACGGGTCCAGACCTGCTCGCAGGGAGCTCACGGCCGGCGACAGGGCGGCTCCTGGCTCCTCTCGCAATGTCAGCGGCTGCAGCAGCGCGCACTTCACAGTTGTATTCCTGATAACGCAGACATCCCTCTTAACTGTAAGCAGAGATTCCTGAGAACTTGAAGCTTATTCTCCTGATAACACTGAGAGTGAGGATGACTAGATAGACGGGGGCTGAGTGTATTGCCCAACAATGCTGTATACTGCAAGCTGCCTCCCGAGTCCACAATGAATGGAGAACTCAACTATAAGCACATGGGCTTATTTCAGTCCTCCTCTGCTATCTGCTAGCAGAGAGATCAGTGCCTTTTGTTGTGGATTTGAGTTGCTGCTTTGAGCTGTGGGGAAGGCCACCCGCTCCTCAACCTGCTGTGACTCGCAGCCCCCCTGCTAAGCCTCTCACTCCAGCCCTCCAGCTAAGCCAGCTGTAAATAAAAACAGCTAGGATTATTTTATATTTTTTTTGCCTAATAACTTTGACAATGTGCCTCACAGCCTTCTAGTGAGCAACTTTGAAGTTATCTTGAATTTCTGCAGGATTTTCTCCTGTGTCAGTTTTCTTGTCCTTTATTAGGCAAATACAAAATTGTGTGTGATGTTAAGCTGTCACCACTTGAACCAGAGACAAAGCCTCCGTTCATCCCCATGCCAGAGAAAAGCACAGTGCAGGCTACCACCTCCAAACTCCTTATCACACTGTTTTTACAGATATGTGGATCGGGTCTGTTGGTAGTAGCATTTCCCACAGACACAGTACAGATTTGTAGCAGGTGTGACGCCATATCGCAGTTTGACAAAAAACATAAGGAAAGAAAGAACAAAAGTCCCAATGAGAAGAATACCTGCAGGATTTTCCCTTTAAGGGAGTACAGTTTTAGGGGCTCTAAAGACAAAATGGCTGCTCTGTATTTGAACACAGGTGGGGAGCCAGTCTATAAACAACTGGGCAAGCCACAGTCTTCCAAGAGTTACAGGACACGACCATTATTTGAAGTGCTTTGACCCTGTGTTGCTAGGAATGGAGTGCAGGGCTAAGTGAGACCAGTGCAGCACACGAGAGGGAGCGAAGCAGCACAGTGTGTTAATGTGGCCACTCCATGAGGGAAATCGTCTCTCACCTGGGTTGAAATTGTGAGCAGATGACGGATCAACACGAGTTTGCTGTGTGGCTCATTGCAGGGCCCCGGGGACATCTCTCAACCTTATACAACCTATTTCACAGCACATGGCTCCACTGAAAGCCATTGCAGGACAGGATCGACACCAGGTGTCAGCGACCACATACACATTGGCAGAGCTGGAATAGCCAAGCCAATCCTCAGGAGACGAATAATGCACAGCCATCTCTGCCCATTGCTAAGCAGAACTCTTCATCTCACTTTCTTACACTGTAGGATTTTTAACCAAATTGTTTTTCAAAGCTGTTTTAGAAATATCTCAAGTGTCCTGAATGTATAGTCCCAAGGATTACAGAAAGGAAAGTATTTTCTACATAGTCAACACGTGTTGTATTTCACATACACACAGTGGAAAGTAATTAAATAAATCCAAAAAACCTGTAATCCATCAAGATCTGACTGAACACAAAGAACTTGCTCTGCTTTAGCTGCATTTAGTACTATCATAATTGAATGACAATTGCTTGGTGTGGGCACTGTTATGTCAGAAGAAATACGTGCGTCATATAGCTTATTTTTGTATAGAAAAGCAGTAAGATGCATCTTTAGAAAACAAAACCAGGATAAGCACAATACCAGAGAGACACCAGTGGAAGTATTTGCTCTGTCACAGATTACTTTTGTGACTTTTGGCAGGTTAAGCCATCTCCCTGGATAGTTACATGCTATTTGAGAAGACTGCTGTATGAAGCACAGTGTATGCCACTGCTGCCAGTCCTCTCACAGCCAGCCTGCCAGCTTAGGCAGGCTCATGGGGTCCCCCAGCCCACATCTTCACCCCAAAGCACGGGCACCCACTGAGCTTCTAGGTTGCAGGGGGCAAAGGCACATCTCCATCAAGCTCCTTTCTACAGCTTTTACGTCTTCTAGCACAGCAGTTCACTGTATCCATGGAACCGTGCAGTGACAAATACATTTAAACACTGTGGTGCTTTCATATAAAATGGTAGATAGAAAAATGCAGCCTCACTATTACCTGTGTCAACATAAGTACATTCAAAGAAAAGCCACCTCTTTCCTCCAGCTAACATATAACAGTCATACAACAGTGCACGGATCACGCCACAATAAATTGCAAAGTAAATTACAGTGACAAAATAAACCATGCTGAGAAGGCACCTTTTATGAGCATCAGATAGTTCTGAATATATAAATTTATAGCAAAATGAGACAAACAATGTCAGAGCAATCTCCACAGGGCTCAGTTTAGCTACTTTTGACTGTTGTACTTGTATTTCTCTTCAGTTTTGCATTCTGAAGCTTCTGCGTATGCTTGCGCAGGGAATACTCCCCTCATACATTTTGGTTATAAATAATGGGTACTGACAGGACTTTAAATCTTTTCTATTTCCAGAACTGAGGCGTGAGGCTCCATAAGTGCCCCCAAGTGGCTTCAATTTCTGCCCTCAACAAAAGATACCAAAAGAAATGCAGAAATGCCTGACCTAGAAAAAAACACGCAGAAGAAAGAGAAAGATACATGCAGTAAAGATGAGACAGTAAGTGACTGTTTCGGGAAAACAAAAAGAAAAACAAAAAGAAGAGACTTAACAACTTTTAATACTGTAAATTAACGTAAATTGATATAATAATTGTAACCCAAGCTCTGTTCCAGAGCCTATTTCTTCATTTCAGGGAACACTTCTCATATCCAAATACTCTCTTTCTCTCAACATCCTATGAAGAATTCCAGTAAGTGAAATATTATTATACAACAGCAGATGCATTGCTACCAAGTCAGGGATGGCATGTAATTATTTTTTAATAGTACAGAACTATCAAACTATCACATATGATTCATTTTAAAGCTGCTTTAGGAGATGCCAGATGTGTATGCCTTTAAGAAGTCAACCCCTTGAGTTTAAAGCTTTTTTTCCTAAGCAGAGTCATGAACTGTTCAGTAACCTTATCCAGAAAGGTAAGGCTGAAGCCAGGTATCAAAAAGAAATACTGTTTAGCACATCTGTTTCCATTGACCAAGAAATCAATGACAGAAGAAACATGTCTTGACTAAACATAGCTTGAAACTGTAGAATTGCCATTCTCTTATTTCTGAGATCCAGGGTGCATTACAGGCTAAATTGGATTTGCATTTCCATTAATAACAGGTAATCCTATGACACTTCTTACGAATATCTAAAATCTTCAGTTTCTAGATAGGGAAGCGTAATGCAGCACTGACTTTTCTGTGGATGTCAAAAGGCAGAGCTGGTATTTGAGCTCAGAGGACAGTGAGTCCCTGCCTACTGTTCAGACCATTTTCTCCACCCCCTCCCTCCCTGCATGCACTAGCAGAGAAGTCTGCAGCTAGATTTGCTCTAAGCAGCAGGTGGAACAAGGTGACTGCTAGTCCTTTCTTCCAACCAAAATGACACTCTGGTCCTGCAATCCTGTGAAAATCAATGTCTGTTACACCAAGATGCAGTAAAAAAAAGGTGAAATTTGCCTACTTTAGCAGATAGGCAAAAATCTAATTAGAAAAATAAACCCTCCAAAAGTTTATGGCCTACACCAATCACTAATGGCCAAGCATAGCTGCATTAGATGCTCATTTCTCAAGTGGGAGACACAGCCACCTCCCTGAGGAGCCATGCTTAGAGCATCACAGCCTTTTGCAATTTCCCAGTCTTTTATGAATTATCTCCTTGTTTGATTTTCCTACTGCCCCCATATCTGCTCTGGCTTTTATATTACTAATTACACTTCACTTGGTTAGTTCTACATTAAAAAACAAAGGAAGCTTAATTGCATGAGTAGCATGATACTCTTTTCTTCCCAGATACTGTTGCTCCAAAACAGGATGAGGAAAAGGAAGTATAAACAGAAATGCTTTATCAAGCCATCTAGGGGTGTTCCAGACAGACTGACAGCAAAGGTTTGCCAGGGTAAAACACGGGTTTATTGAGGACTGTACATAGTCAGTACTAATAAACAGGAAGAGCAGTGTGTTTTCTATTTCTGTAGCTTTATAACCACTCATTTTATCAATCAGACAAGTATTATCCCATGGTTTTACTAATCACAAGCTAAATGTACTTCTTTACTAATGAAATACCTTTTATTCAGGCATTATATTACTATGCTGTCATGTATTTGCAGATTTCCTAGAGCCTAGCTGAGACTATATGCTTGCACCATGACTCGTCGTCCTACGATTTCTAGAATTTTTAACAAGGAATATTATCCTTGGTAGTTTTCCACTACTCCCCTAGTCTATCCATTCGAAAGCTTTCAAATAGAGTTACTGGAGAGTACATTTGCAGTAATCAGGCCCTCAGCTGCTAAAACAGAATACATCAATTAAAAAACGGATGCAATATATTAATCAGCAACAAAAGAAAAAAAAAAGAAATAAAAAAGGGGACAGATTAGGAACAAGTAGAATTACTTGCTTATACATATATATTTTTTTAATGACTAGGCAGTGCCAAAACTTCCAGTTCCACCACTGCAACAGACCTTAGGCATGTACCTACAGTGCATGAAACACTTGGTGCCAGAGGAGCAATTTAAGAAGACCAAGGTCATAGTGGAGCAGTTTGGAATTCCAGGAGGCCTGGGAGAATCCTTGCAGAAAATGCTTGAGGAAAGAAGGGAAAAGACGATGAACTGGGTAAGCAAATACAGATGAGAAAAATAATTGCTGTGTTGGATGATGCTCGTTTACAAGCTCTTTCTGTTCTTCTATATGGAATCACTGTTTTCTTTCAGCTGGTCAATGCAAACAGGGGTCACATCAGATTCTGACAAGGGGAATGAATATTTCCAACATACTAGGCTAGATTTTTCAAATTATGTCAAAATCTGTATCATTATTATGTTTTCAGATCAACAGTTTGTTGGCATCAATGAGGACATTCATTCACCTCAGGTACATGCACAGAGGTGTCAGCAAGACCTGTAGGAAGCACTATATTACATCACTTTTGGACGTAATTTCTTCCTTTCCCTTTAATAACAGGATTTAGATTTTTTTATTGAAATGAAAAATGCTTTCTGATAGGGCTATAAAAAGTGCCTTGCATACACATCTACCCAAAGCTCTGATCCACTCAAATTGTTCTGGAATGGAATACTTCAGGATAGGAATTACTCTCTTAAAACTGAACTATTATTTGCCATTCACCGTGACACTATACCAATGTATTTACCCTGAAGTATTTACTTTGTCAAATACACACATACATGTATACATGTATATCTGTCACATAGACCATGCTGAGACCTCAGCCTTTTAAAAAGTCCAGCTTTCTACTTCCCAAGACAGGAAAATTAAATAAGCCGTAACTGAAGTAGATTTTATCACTCCACAAAGTTACAGTTCACCCTACCTGCATTGACTGTGTGGCAGCTGAAAACAAGAACTTTATTGAAGTCTTTCCATCCCAGCAAGGAAAATGGTTTCATGGATCAGTGAAATCCTGCAGGCTTGCTACTCATGTCAGTGAATTGTGGTTCTCCCTGTACTTTTCAGTTGTGTGACGCACAAGAAAACTCCATCAAATTGCTGCTATAATCAGAGAAAAAAGCCTACAGTACTGGCAGTGCTTTTATTTTTAATACAGTGCTTCACTTCTGAATGAAATGCTGCCCAATCTTGTTTTGTTACTTTGATCATAGAACTTCATGGCTTTGGTGTCTAAGATAACCATCATTTAATGTTCCTGATAGCAAACAGTGTTCCACGAAACAGCTGCTCATTTAACCACTTATAGCATGAAAACTACAGAGGAAGGATACGTAAACATTTTCTGAAAATATGTCAATTTTAAATACTGGTTATTAAAATGAAATACCTGATGCTTAACATAAATCAGAAATTGTTTTATTCAGAATTTAACTTGCCAGGAGTATAGTTCTAGTATGTTCTCCTGAAGACTCCAGAGATTGTAGGGGAAGCATCTGTTCTAACAGCAATGAAATATCTCAGAGGAAAACTTTTTCAACTGATGCATGCATTTGTAATTATTTTTGCATAATTTCGTTGTTGTTTATAGTTACCATATGCAAAGCCTGCCCGCTCAAAAAGACCATTTGATCATTTTATGAAAGCCTCCATTTTCCAAATAATGATTTATGTCTGCTCAGACATAAATGAATGCAGTTACTGTACATCTGTGTTTTCAATAAAAATGGTTAGAAATTTAGTAAGTGTGTCTGGGTCAAGCACCAGCAATCTGTATTTGTGTCAGTGGACACAGAGGATTCTCCAGGGGCCTGATCCACATGCCAGTATCTGCAGGACCAAACCATCAGGCTTGGGAAATTCTTTTCCTGCTCTGTCTTGCTACAGGACAGTATCAGTAGAGCATCTTGGCATCACTGACAAATATTTGAAGCCCCTTGAGGAAAGCCATCACCAGTAAAACACTGTCCCATCTCTTAAACATCTCCTAATCACTATGCAAGAGTTAACATGTTGTACTCAAGCATTTTTGGGTTGTAGAGAGAAACAAACAACGAAATACCCAAAGCACCACGATATGGAGCTTGTTTACTTCTTAATGGAACACACTGTAAATTGCCATTGATTGAGAAATAGGATTATGGAATTGTGGCTGACTGCAGCTGAGCTGAGGTCGCGGAGCCCAGGCTGAAAATGCTCAGCAGCTCCATTAATCAGAGCCCATGCCTGACACCAGGAGCACCAAGCACTGTCCCCTCACCCCCGGGCTGCCTTTCCACGTGCTGTTTTGTAGCTTTAAGATTTCGTGTCCCCTTCCCTTAGGTGTTTAACTACTGGCTGGATGACATGTACCTCAACAACCGGCTAGCTCTTCCAGTCAATTCCAGCCCAGCAATTATCTTTGCTCGTCAGTATTTCAAGGATGTAAATGACCAGCTGAGGTAATGTACTACGACTTTGCAGCTTTTGCTAAATGAAAGGATATTTTAAATGTACTGCTTTTGCAAAAAGACAATCAACTTTCATTAAAAAATAAGGGCTGTAGCCATTAAATGATTTCCTACTAGGCCTGCTGACTGAGGGCAGTGTTTCTGGGGTTACTCATGCTAATGTTCAGAAAGGAAAATGTCATTACTATTACATTTATTGCATAAAAAAAATGCCATGAGATTTATATTTTTAAGGAATATTTGCAAAGCTTTTTATTCTATGTAATCCGAGTAAACCACTTTGTGAGGAAAAAAATAAATACTAATTCCTGCCATATAGTTTGAAGGAAAATAATCTTTAACATGCCATCACTATGACTCGTAGCCACCCGGCAAACTGAAAAGGCCACGTTGGCATTACATTATCCCTTTCAGACGCCCAAAAGGGCACCAGAAACACAGGGGATCTAAGAATAAGAATTCAGAAATCATTTTTCCCCAAGAACACTGCTTCCTTCTGGCTCATAATTCCCAGCCCTGAACTGATCCTTCTCCTTTGAGCTACTGTGGGCAATTACTATCATTTAAAAAGAGAAAAGGTAAGCACGTAGCCAAGCACAGAATATACCTCTCCAGACACCCTTAAAACAGGATTCCATTCTTCAGCCTTTGCCAAAACGTTTCCTCCTTTTAAAACAGCAAAACGAACCAAATCTACCTTCATATAGTGCAATTTTCCTCTTTGCTTTTAGCACTCTCTAGCTGCTCATTACTGAAATAATTAACTGCATGTGAATTTATGCTATTATAAAACAGCCAGAACCTTGAAACCAATATGCATTATTTTAACATTTTGTGTAGACAGCTAATGCATCTTTTTACTCTAGTTTAAACATAACTATAAATGCTTCCATTCATTACTGACTAAATTTATTGTGCACAGAGCTTTCAAAAAACCTCCACTTTGCATTTTCTAATGCACGTGCTTTAACAAGGAAATATTTTTCTCAGAGCCTTCCATTCTGACACAGTGCAAATGGACAATGTCAGGAAATAATACACCTGCCCTCAGCTCTGCAAAAAGAATATCTGCTTAGGACAGGAAGTACTCTAATAAATTGGACAGCTTATGAGTATTGATATTGAAACCCATGTAAAGGATTCTATTAAATATTCAGCCTCTGCTCCCATTCTCTAAATAAATGCTTTCAGGCTTCCTCCTGTGGTCTGTTTAACCATTTGAAGGGACTGTCTCTAGGATTTCATATTTCTCTAGTCATGAATTACTTTAGGTTTTGGGTGGGGGCAGGGAACTCTTCTTGCCAAGCCAGAAGACTTTCTCCCCTTATGCTGTGTCATCAATCACTCCTCTGTCTCAGAAACAGCCCAGTGTTGCCCAATGACAAAAGACTGATGTCACTTCTATCTGCCACTTGCAGGTTTGCCGCTAATCTCATTTCAGGAGTGCAAGACTACAAAGCTTTACTGGACACGTAAGTAGCTTGGAAGGAGAGCTGCTGCTTGAGTACCCACAGGGCTTCTGATTCAAAGGTGCTCTCACTACATAATTGGGCTGTATTGCACTCCTCCATCACTTGGAAGGGCTGGGGTTCCAGCATGCTTCGGGGAAGGGCTTCAGCAACTTTTTATGCACTTTATGCCTTTTTACTGCAATGTAACAGGTTGAAGAGGGATCCTTTTTGATGGCAGGTAGTCATCAGTCTAGCAGGCACAGTGCGACCCAAAAGGACAGGCACAATCTGTCTAACAGAGTTGCCGAGAACACCAGAGGAAGTCTGTGCTCTCCACACCCAAAGGGCACCAGCAGTGTGGGTACAAACCCTGCACACCTTTGCTGGCACCCTCTACCTGCCAGGGCGCTGCACCCCCTCCACGTCCTGCACTCTGCATTTAGAACCAATCCTCCCTCCCCACAGAGAAATAACACATTTAGGGGAAGGAAGCCTCACCACAGACAGGCTGGCTCAGTAGCTAGTCAAAGTAAGTTACTTATGCAATTGTTACTTTCTGTATATAAATACTGGGGAAATACAAGATTCTTCAAGTCATGTATGAAGTAACTCATAACAAAATATTTACATAGCAATTCTTAGCCTCACTTAGTATGTTCCAAGTTTACTACTGAAACCACTGCTCCCTGAAGAATAGGAACAGTGGACAGCCAAGCACAACAGAGACCACACCATAGTAGAGAACAAAAAATATGCTTTAACCAATTCTTATTTGGATGAGGAATTCAAACAATAAAGTTCCTGTCATCTATGAATAAGATAAAAGAAAGAAATAAGCTGTTTGATGTTTCACTTGAAAAGTCTGACAGCTACTCAGAAAGAATAGAAGAGCTACTTATTTAAGAACATGTGCTTTAGTCCAAGATATGCCATGCAACTGCATACACCAGCACTGGTGTGCTGTGAGGTACTATTGCATACCGCTGGAGTTGCATCTTTATATGACAGCATCTGAGATGAGATAAAGGAACCACATTGCTCAAACAAAGGATAATTTAAATTCTTACCTATTTTGACCTCACTACTCTAGAGCCAAAGACTCCTGTGATCAGATTTGCTTGTCTTAAATCAATAGCCACTGAAATCCTCACTACTGTATCCTCATTTGTTATTACTGTTTGCTTGTCTCTGTGTAACTATGAGGACACCATAATTGTAACATTTTCAGTTCCTTGTTGTTAAGGACTTGTACCAGCAAGTGTACTGCTATCTTCTCTTGGATCATCCCACATGCAGATGTACAATATTTAAGCCCAAACCCAAGTGTTTAGCTTTAACTGTGCAGATATTCCATGCAGTTTTGTCAGGACTAAGTATTTCAAACAAAGGCTACCTTGCTGATATAAAATAGTTGTAGGATCTTACACAGACATATAAATCAGTACAAGATTTTCTGGCGCCATCAGTTGGAGTTAATAACACCTTTCTTAACTGCTATAAGTAGATTGTCTTCTATATAATCTACCATGCTATCCCACTATTTTCTATTTTGATAGATTCTCTTTAAAGTGTTGTTAAGTATAAAGGGATTTCTGCATTATGCAAAATGTGGGAGAACACCACTAACCCTGTTTTGCTGATAAGGAACAAAAATATTAAGCACCTTTATGAGGAAATAAACAATACAGAAAGTTTGAAAACTGGGAACTAAAGTGCATACCCCTGGTTCAGAACTCCAACAGTTCTAAAGACACGGTTAAACAAGATAAACTAGCATAAGACATTACCCCTTATCAGCTGTATGACAGTAACCTTCCTTGCTTGCTTCTTTGCCTTTGCCCCTCTCTGTAAACTGGAAGTTTAGTCCTCTTTTTCTGAGGGAAAGCCTCTGCACCACAAGATCATCTTCCTCCTGTGGTCTCTGCAGCCTCCCTCAACCAACAGAACCATTATTTCCTGCTGCAGCATCAGTGGGGTATTTTACAAAGCATAATCATAATTGTGATATCACTTTTTTTTTTTTTATGGCCACTAAAGAAGCCTTTTAGAAGTTGTTTTCAAATGCCTTCCAATCAAAAAGGAATAGGTTTTCAGTGCATATTACCCCATAGGTGTAAGTAAGAATTAGCACAAAATCAAGGATCTGTGGAAAACAGAAATTCCCTCCATATTGCCCAAGTGATTCCTGTTCATCAAGCAAGGTCCTCTCACACACTCTCTTAACAACTCTGCACAGCACAGGGCCACTGTGATTTGCAGGGAATTTCATCAGTACCTTTCTTCAAGGTGCTACTTCTTTTTCAGCTGTTCTGCTGACTTCTGTCCTGCCAAGTTTCCGGAATCCCATCTAGGCAGGCTTCCTACGTGCATTCCAAAGCTGCTTGTGACCTGCTATTCTTTCCATTGCCACTAGATGATAATGCAATTGCTTAATGAATATGCATGAAGCTGCCAGGAATGATGTATTTAACTTTGGTATGGGAATTCATCTATTTCCCTTATACTGTAATCTCATTTTATTATTCAATTTGTGTTATACCTGATCTAATTGTAACAGAACAAAGGACAGATTAGATTTCTTTTCCCTTCTGTCTCTCTCTCCCCTCTTTTCCTCTTGCTTTGTTTTTCTCCTTCTTTTTCTACAGCCATGCTTTACCTGCTGATTTTTCTCGTGGACAGCTGTCTGGTCATCCTCTCTGTATGAAGCAATACTATGGACTCTTTTCTTCCTATCGCCTTCCAGGACCTACCAAAGATACCCTTGTGGCCCAGAAAAGCAATGTAATGCCAGAACCAGAACACATCATTGTTGCTTGTAACAATCAGGTAAAAGAGTTTCTTTTTTTTTACCTTTCTATATTTCTTAATTTGCTTAAATTCACTCCAGAAGAGCCTAATCTAATCTCTGTTCAGAAATGCAATTAGCATGCTACGTATGAGCTCGCTTCTTACCAAGCATTTGCAGTCAATATTTCCAAAAGATGCTTCTGCAGCATTTTTGTCCCTGGCCCACATTATGTTCCAAGAACAGCGATGCAGAAAGTAGGAATGTGGCAGAATTCATTTGCTCTCTCTTTCAAACAAAAATGTTTAATACGCGGAGATGAAACCGCAGAGAAAAAGTATCTGCTTAGAGAGCATTTGCTGGAAATGCGCTTCTCTGGGCAGTCAAGTATTGGCACACAATATAATGGCATATATATCACCCTGATATATATGTGCATGGCATATACACCCTGTAGGGGGGCCTAAGCTGTGCCTGAAGAAGTTAGCACAGGTGCACACAGAAATACTGAAGCATTACAGTGAATCTGCCCCAACCAGTAATTGCCAGTGAGCAGCAGAGTATATCAGCTGGGCAGAGTATCTTATAGCCCAGCCTGACTATTTGCAGCACTGGAGTCATGCCTGCAGGCCCTCTTGGAATGAAGGGGTAGATTCCAGTAGTCCCTTTTCCAGGAAGTCCCATTCTTCACCCCAAAAGGAAGTTCTCTCAATTGTCTAGGTTATTTTTAAACAAATAGTACCATGAAAATTATTTCCATATTTTCTGGTTTTATCTCTTCAGGTTTTTTTAAGCTTATTCAAATGGCATATTTTTATTTGAGTCCAATACACAATGGAAGTCTTCTGTAGCAACTGGTATTCCATTGGTGTTAAAACACAGGAGGGGTGAGCCCTGGGCCAGTCCCCAGCAGTTTTGTGCTCCACTGCCTCCAGGCCTGGCTCTCCAGGCAGGACTTCAGCATCTCAACACCTACCCAGGCCACAGCAAAATGTTGGACCACAAAGGGTCTGACTGTTTTTCTGACTTCTGTCATTTTTTTGCAGTTCTTTGTTTTGGATGTTGTCATTAATTTCCGTCGCCTCAGTGAGGGAGATCTTTTCACTCAGTTACAAAAGATAGCCAAAATGGCAGAGAACGAAGAGGAAATGCTGCCTCCAATTGGCCTGCTGACAACAGATGGAAGAACAGAGTGGGCAGAGGCCAGAACGATCCTTATGAAAGGTTAGCAGCCACAACCCCAGCTTTCTCTTCTTCATCATCTTCCTCCTCTTCCTCCTCACCATCACTGCCTTGCTTTGCTGGAAGTGAACGTCACAGCAAATATAGGACTGAATGTGCAACATTCCTGCTGAATTTTTGCAGCAGCAGGAAACTCAATATGTGTAAGTGCTCAGATGTGTGTTACCAGGGAGTAGCAGACACGGCTTGACCCTTTGGCTGTGTATGTTTATGTGTTAATGCCATGTAAAAACTCTCACTCCATTCTCTGTTTTTCATCGCATAAATTACATTACATCAGATTTTGTGATTTGTCTCTTTCTTCATATCCATTTTGTACCAGTAGGAATGAGGCATTCTCTTCGCTTTTGGCAACTGTCAGACATTTTTGATCTTATCTAAAAAAGGCATCTACAAATTAAGCACCTATTGAGTCTAGCTGTGTACTCACTCTAGCCAGTGGAGAAGGTACCACAGCAGATGCAACCAAATCTTAAGTAAGTATGTAGGAAAGACAACACCAGTTATTATCTGGGGACATTTCTCTCTCTCTTCCAACACACAGCATTTAGTTGTCTCAGATTCTGGACTTGAATGTCAACCTTTGAAACAGTAGAAAATAAAGGGTGGGGTTAGTGATCTTTTATTACATCATACCTAATGTATTTTACCAAGAAGCTAAGTGAAGTAAACACCCTCTTTTTGCCATTTTACATACCTGAAGTATTCACTTTTCCCTCCTGAAGATACCGTTAACTCATCTCTTCATCTCCAGTTCAGCAATGCTACAGAAAATATTGCTGTTTTACCAATGCCCTGGAATATAGAAGAGTTGCCAATAGTCTCAAAGTATGTTTACCATCCCAAGGAAGGTTTCCCTTCACTTGTTCAAGTGTTATCTGTGCTTATAAAAACTTAGTATAGATAAACACACACAGATAGAGTCCTGGCCATTATTTCAGCAATATTACGTAACACCGGTCTCATCTTTAGCCCTTCCTCTTCTCTTCCTTCCTTATTTTAATGAAAATTGAGGTAATTATTTGTTTGCATGTCATGCTTCTAAATAAAACAGTGAATGCCTTGAAACCTGCCAAAAAATCACCTTTTAAACCATCAGAAGAAAAACAAAATCAACAAAAACTAGTAGAACCATCTCTAAAGTGTTTTTAGATGGCCTGGCATTTGCTGAAATATTCATTTTAATCAGGAAGCAAACCAACTCAGTTATAGAGCTGAAAAAAAAACAAATTCTGCACTAGCAAATATCACCACATAGCACCACACAGAGCCTTCTCTAATCTAAGTAGGAATCCCATTCTGGACCACTGATATTAGCACAGCTCCTCTATACAGGTGAATGCGTTGCTGTTACACATGGATACAAGATCATGAACAGCCCTGCATAACTAACAGAGGAAGAGAAAACCTGTGAAGCAATGTGAACTGAAAGGGGTCACTCCACAGCTGCTCTGTTCTGGGCAGGCCAAGAGAGGATGCTTTGAGACTGAGAAGACCTATACAGTGCTTTACAGAGGCTGTGAAGGAGATATATCCATGAGCCTGCACGGACCTGAAAATAGATGATAGGTCTTTTAGGTGAGAAGATTTCAAAGATATTGTAATAATCCCAGCCATCACTGATTTATAAACACACTCAGCATTGTAACTGTCTTCAGGATGCAGAACCAACTCACCCTTCCTAAGTAAAGGAGTGAATGCTTACTGCTATAAGGGCTGCAGTCCCATGCATACTGTATCTGAATTTGATTCAGTACTGTCTTTTCTTTTTTAAAACTAAAACCAAAAAACCCAACTAACCAACAGCTGAGTGGCCAATTCAATGCAACTGTGCATTAGAAAGGCAGAAGGACAAGAAAAGTCTTGCAGGGCCTTAGGCTTGTTCTCACACTTCTCTGTTTCAGCTCTTGTCATGGTTCATGAGTTCTTGTGCAATTTATCGCCTGCTTCACAGGATAATTTTTTCAGTGTTTGATCAGCTCTCTAGACATGTCTGTTTCCTTCTGTAAGGCCATCTTTCCCCTACTTTTCTGTTTCTAGCAGAGCTTAATTTTATTCACTCTAATACCTACACTCCAGATACCCTGAAGCCATATGTCAGATAAGGGCTTCGTATCTGTCAAAGACGTGTGGGTAGCAGCCACAATGAAATATATATATATAAACCTATCAAACAACGTAAAGCAGAATGCTGAGCAAGCTGGGAACGGTTTGTAAATCACTATCCAAGCAGTTTTTCCTCGAAGGTGCCTGTCTGCAAACACCAGAAGCTGATGTATACCAGGCAACTTCCATTCACAAGGATCTTTTCAGCCTTTGCATCAACATACCCAGACCATCAATGAAAAAAATTCCACAATTACAGACAGCCCTGCAATGGGAGATACTGAAAGAGCTTTACAGTCAAGAGGACAGGGACGTCTTCTTCCTTATGAAGTTTATGAATGCTTTTGAAGACACTCCATACGGACACCAGTGTTTCACATGTAGGGTGATCATTGGCAGAAACCTCAACATGCCCCATCACATGCAATCTCCTGGCTCAAGTGTTTGTAGGAGCTGGCAGGCACTCCAGGTGCCTTCCCTAGGACTCTGCTTCTGTGGGCAAGGGAAGACAACAATCAGCACTCCACCAGGTCCCCACGCAGCCTGGAAGGAGCCAGGCTGACCATCCCTGCCACTTGGTGCCATGGCTGCTAATGTCCCCTCACAGGAGCTGCCAAACAGCAACAGACAGTACCTTACCATAACCTGCAAAAGGCCTCGGCTCCCCCTCTCCCTTCTCAGTCACTGCTATCACTTTGCTTCTCCTTCTCCTGACACCTTTTAAATTTCTTGCATATTTGAGCTCTTTTTTACTACAAAGCATCTAGAGAATGAACCTGGATGATAACAAGCATCTGTTATTTTTCTAGCTCCTCACTAACCAACATTACTCCTTCTGGGAAGGTGCATTTTTTCTTACTTTGAAAAATGCTGTTCTTTCAGAGGATCAATCTACTTTCCACGTGTGCAAACCTTAAAAACATGCACATATTGAAATGGCTCCACGTATTTCAAATGCAAATCAGAATTAATTTAAAATATTTTTCCATTCTTTCAGCTGAAATCATCTCCTGAATTGAGCACAGACTTGTTGAACTCAGCACAGACTTGAAAGAAGTTTTGATCAATCTGAATTCATATCTCTAGTTAAGAACATCCTGAAACAAAAATCATTTACACCAAAATTTAGCAAAACCAGTAGATGAAAGCTGATCTGTTAAGAATGGAAGGAATTCTAAGCTGGCATTCGAAAGCCCTTTTTTCATTGATCTTGTTAACAACCATTTAACAGCAATTAATAATGTTATATGCTTTTAAATAAAACAAGTTCTTGTTATATGTTCCACACTTTTATCCTTTCAATTAAGAGCTGTATTAAGCGCTCACAATCAGAAATTTCCTATGCTTCAAACTGGTCCTCAGATGCAAACAAACCCTTAAACTTCATAATAATATTTGAGTTAGATAAAGAATCTGAGAAAAAAATCCACATAAATACACCACGAATAAGGAGGAACACGCTGAGGACAAGGCAAAAATAGTCTTAGTAGTCCAACTCTATAAGCAAGGATAAGGAAAATAAACAGAAAGAGATCCAGGAAAAGCTCATTTTATTCAGCAGTACACTAGTGACAGGAGGGAAGTGGAATGTGACAACCCATGGCTTTGGCAAAATCATGTTCAAAAACTAAACCTCACAACCTCATCCCCAGATATTTTCCTCATGTGATAGGCAATATATAGGCAATATAACCTAATGACCAGGGACAGGAGAGAGTAGAGGGTTTTAATACAATAACACAAAAACAATATGAGCCCTGCTGTAGGGTTTCAATGGGAGAACAGCACAAAACCAGTACAAGCCCTGCTGTTCCAGAGCAGAATACTGCAGCAATAGCGTGAGCTCTGAAATTTTCTATTTTCCACCTGTCCTCTCTGTAACTGTTATATATAAAATAAGTAAGCATTGCTGGCTTTAAGAGTAAAATAGATCCATTTTGTAATATAATTACTTCAGGAAATGAAAGGCAGAGAAAGAAAGTGGATATTATTGAATCATACAAAAGATACACAGAGATATTACAAAAGTTAACACATGAATTAATGCCTTGGTATAATGTTTCCTTGCACTGAGATGATCTGCTGTGGAGAGAGCTCTGCAAACACCAGCTCACTGCAGATCTCTGACGCTGTCCAAGGCAGCAGGGCTCCCCAGCCAGTTCTGCACTTAAAGGTAAGAGGATGTGAACATCTCCCTCTTTTATCCCCAGACTCTACTAACCGGGACTCCCTTGACATGATTGAACGGTGCATATGCCTGGTGTGCCTGGACAGCCCCAGTGGGGTGGAACTCAATGACACAAACATGGCATTGCAACTGCTGCACGGAGGAGGCTACCATAGGAACGGGGCCAATCGCTGGTATGACAAACCTATGCAGGTAAAAACCTTACAGTGCACCACGATGTTAACTGCACGTGGCAAAGGACTCCCATTGCCTTGTGGTAGGGACCACTTAGAGTCAAGTGGGAGAAAGAGGGGGAGGTGGTGTCAGCATCTGGCCAGGCAGGGTTGGTGTGAGCAAGGCTGTTCCTTACAGGGCAGGGGAGGCAGACTGGCTGCCTTGCTGGCAGAGTCAGGGCATTCTCCAACACAAAGGCACTTCCACGTTTTCTGAAGCTGCCCTTTGCACTTGAGGGGGTAAGACAGACATAGGGGTAGGTAGACATCTGATATAAAAATGAAAGCAGAATGCAATTTTATTACACTCAATCAAATGAAATAAAAATGCTGGCCTAGCATCCCAGAGCGAAAAAGAAAAGCATGATATTTTTCCTCTGTTTTCTCTTCTTACAGGTTTTCCTGACATCCTAGAAATAGTACAATTTAGCATGTGTTTAAGTCCTCACTTAACAGATTGTTTACTCATTTAATGACATCCTTGTTGAGACTTTCTTGGAAGTATTGACATCTCCAACCTTTTTCCCAGTCAGATTTTGATTGTCATATTTGAAAATGTCTCACTGTTATTTTCACACTTTGCAATAGACCCAGGGTGAAGCAATGTATTAATCTCCAACTGTCAACAATGTTGACACCTCATGAAAAATTGAAAAAAACCCCTGACTGATACATGGCTTGCGTAATGCTTGTTGCTCTTGCCATATCTAAGAACAGTAACATGAAAAGAGAAACCCCTAAAATAATTCACTTCCACTGACTTACCCCAGTGAAAATACATTTCAGTAGCCATTCCTGATTTATGCCACTGCAAATGACATTATTAGCAGACTCCAGTGCTGCATTTTTGAAGAAGAAATCATTTGTCTTTAGTTAGAATCCTGTTATTTGCAGGGTCTCTTGTTGACATGTTTCAAGCAGATGAGAGTAAACAAGATTTCTTTTTGTTTACTATCATAAGGTAGCAGAAAGAAAATAAAATTGCACAGTATATGGGAGAGCTTCATCTGTCCAGATGTATTCAGGCCAGCAGTTTAAAAGTGAAGAGAAATTCTTAGGGAAATAAGATTCCATTTTCTTTCATGCATACACAGATTATGTAGGAAGCCATTCTCACAGTAGAACTTGTTCTTTCTCTCCATGTTCTTCTTCACCTTTGCAGTAAGGTATCAGAAAATGGTCAGGTGAACCTTTTGCATCATGCACACACACTCTGTGAAAACCTCATGGAAAGCAGGAAGGCAGGATGCATGTGTGTGATACAAATGCACAGTGAGCTGAGGGAGAGAAGTCCAGCCAAATATACTTCAAAAGAAGTGTGGGGCAAAATCCAGAAAAAGGACAGGAAACATGTGAGACAAGTTGCAGTATTGTCCTAGACATCTGCTTTTGTTTGAGATGCAGAAATAACCAACTGCATGGGTGTATCACAGAATCAGAGTGCAGCAGGTTGTCACCAGCTATGAAATAAAGAAGGAAGACAAGTAAGAGGGAAATGAAGAAAGCACCTCGAATTAAAAAACGCTTAAAAACAAGCTATGAGAAAGCTACCAAATAAGGATGAGCTTTGTAATAAAATGGGACCTTATGGATTTCCCAGATCTAGACTCTGCATTGCTCCCAAATGTGGAAGGAGAACCCCGGCCTGTCTTTCTGTTGATGGGTTTTCTGTACCATAAAGCACACGCTAAATCAAATTTTCAGACTCCCATAGGAATTGCTAAAATTCACATTCTCACAGGTCTCAGTCCAAAATAGCAGCATGAAAGGGATTCAATGCAATGCCTTTCACAGGACAAGAAAATCTCCTGTGATAGGCCTGTAAGTCACCCACTGACCTATAAGGCAAGGAAGATCCTGATACGAGCAATAAGAAAACCACAGGAGAACAATAACATGTTTGTTAGTTAGGTTTCCATCACGAGTAACTTATACAGGGAATAAATCATGTTCTGGCTATCTTGCTCCTGTTCTTTTCCTTGTTTAGTTTGTGGTAGGAAGAGATGGAGTCTGCGGCACCGTGTGTGAACATTCCCCTTTCGATGGCATCGTGATGGTGCAGTGCACTGAATATTTGCTCAAGCACGTGTGAGTTCCCTTTCAGTACAGCTTTTGTACCCACTCCCGCCCCTGGGGAAGCCTCTGCCAGTGGAAAATTCCCCCTGACGCACTAAGGCCCATAAAACTACTGGAAACCAGTGATTCACCTGCTAAAAAGCAGTGTTTAACAGAGAGATTAATCCTGTGACCTAATGATTTCTGTCTCGCATACTAACAGGAAAGAAAATTCCAAGAAATTAGTCCGAGCTGATTCAGTGAGCGAGCTTCCTGCTCCACGGAGACTAAGATGGAAATGTTCCCCTGAAATTCAGACACATTTGGCATCATCAGCAGAAAAACTTCAAAGGTAGAACAGATGCTTCATTTTTCTCAACAGTGACTGCAAGCTGGGAACTACCCAGCACATTGTGTGCTGGGTAGTTTCCTCCTAGAGGGCTTCCTGCCCTCCTGCCCTCCTGCTCCTCCTCATCTTCCCAACCTGGACATACCTAGCACCTCTTTGTGGGCTGGAGCTACTTCACTCTATTCAGGAATTGCATTTCCATTGTTTTCCTCCCCTGTAAATATTAGGAATGCTAAAATCCACTGGAAAAACGGTTTAGTCCTATTTTCACAGGATGCAAACAATGCAGGTCCTCTGTTTTTGTGGATGTCCTTTATGGGTTTGAGCTGATTCAATCTGAAGCCAGTGCAACAGGGATACATAGAGGGGACAGCAGAATACAACTGGTTTGAATAAACAATTTTAATTCAAGAATGTAATTTGTTTGCATTCATATTGCTCCTACAAAGGCTAGTTCTTCTGACTCTGTTTCCACACTGTAGAAGGTTTACATGATCTTTGGGAGTGGAGATGGCAATAAGAATTTATTTCTTTCAATACTCAGGCCTGTGATCTCTCTGTAGAGAATTAACACAGTGACTGCATGATCAGCTGTAAGTATATCCAGTGTGGTTGCACTAGGCAAGACCTCAAAGTGGATAGAAGCACACATAGGAATGGGAATATTAAGGATGCAGAGTAATTCCTTTTTGTTTTTAAATAAACGTAGTAGTCCTCTAAATTGGAACTTGCAATGAGCTTCCTCAGGTTTTACATGCACCCATTTCTTACTCAAATGAACAGACCTGAGTGCCACAGCTCATGTTAAGGCTGCACAAAACAAGCCTGGTGTAGAACCTGTATGAATAAAAGTTACTGACCAGGAACAAGTTACCAAAGGCCAAGACTGTCTGCAGAGCAGGAGCCCACTCACCTCAAAGTGGGTACAGGCAGGAGAGATCTCTGGGTTTTATTTGCAAATAAAAATGGAACATGATTTTGTTTAGTGGTGAACAAGGTAGTGTTAGGTTAATGGCTGGACTCGATCTTAAGAGTTCTTTTCCAAGCTTAATGATTCTATAAGATTCCTGCATCTCACCCTGGAGTAACTGCTTCTCCTTGTTTTCCAGGATGGTGGAAAATCTGGATTTTATTGCCTACAAGTTTGAGCACTATGGAAAGGAATTTATTAAGAAACAAAAGGTTAGCCCAGATGCCTACATTCAAGTAGCACTTCAGCTGGCATTCTACAGGTAAGGTTAATTCAGATCATTGGAACAAGGTACACAAGGTAGTGGTTTTTTAAAGAGAGTCCATTTTTAACTCAGCATTCAAAAAAATGCCTCCTTCATGGAAATGAGTGATCATGCCTAATGGTTGTAGGACAGGAAAAATAGAAATGGACACCTGGTTCTCAGACTACTCCTTTTCTTTGCTCCCTTTCCCTCTTCTTGCTCATCATCCCTGTGCCCCACACATGCCATTCCCAGCCAGTACCTTCCCCACAGCTGTCCCTGCCCTTGGCATAGAGAAGAGGGTGAGGGGATGTGGCAGGGAGTAGCGGGGTTTTCTGTAGCAGCAGCAGCTATAGGAGTCCAAGTCTCTGGGGCAGAAACACTCCCTTGCCACTGTGGGTGGCTTGGGAAGGACGTGGCAGTAACCCCAAGCTCACCACACACACACCTCCTGCACTGCAGGGTGAAAAGCGTCCACAGGGGAGAATTCTACAGCAGCATATCAGATCAGAGTTCCTACACAGGACAGTAACTACTGCTGCCTCCTTCTTCACAGACATCCCAAGATTTGATAATATCCTCTAATTTCCATGATATTACCAAAGTCAAAAGCTCCTTTCTACATTGCCAGAACTCCAGACTAGAGATCGGTGGCAGGGTTTCCTGCAGAACAGCCTATTACACAAGTAATTCTGACGTGGTCTTTACCTGGCCAAAACCAGAGGTGCCCAATACATTTTCTGTACTCCATTAACATCTGTTAAACATGCATTTTTTGTATATTCCATCAACCAACCTTCAAAAATGACCTAGTCCAAGATTTTTGTCTGGATTCCAGCCATGATATAAATTCCATGTTTGCAAAAAAACCAACTTAGGGGACAGTTACAATCTGAGACCCTCTGCTTCAACTGAAAGACATGCTAGTTCTCCTGAAGCAAGGAATTGTGGCTATATACCTGCACCCAAATTAACACTCTGTTCTAATTGCTATGTGGGTTTTCATTTCAGCTTTTCAGTTTTCTACTTTTTATTCACACGCTGAGTGTATTTTTTCTTATTTTAAATAAAACATATTTCAAGCCCATAAATAAATGATTAATTACACAATTATTTTATGATGCAGTACAAATAAAGCATTCCTTGAGATATTTCAGTAAATTTTAGTTTTACTAGCCTTGTTTTTACACAGCAAGTCATTTTTTACTGGCAATGCATAACTAAAACATATACAGCTGTATGTAGCTTCTCATATTAGAAGGGAGTGAGCATCGATCTTTTTTAAGTTTCTTATAGAATTCTATCAACATTAAGAAGAATACCGTGCAAAACATAAAAGTGTGTCTGTAACAATAAAATGTACCAAGCCTATATTTCTCTTAGTCTTTGTGACTCCTTGAAAATAATTATTCTTTGCTTTTCTTACTTTATTCTTTCAGATGCCACAGGAGACTCGTCCCGACCTATGAAAGTGCTTCCCTGCGCCGATTCGATGAGGGCCGAGTGGACAATATCAGGTCTTCTACCTCAGAAGCATTTGCTTTTGTAAAAGCAATGACTGATGACAAGACAGCTGTATCGGTATGTTGGTCTTCTTTGCCAAAACACTGAGTAAATAATGCATTCATGGTCCCTAGTCTCTCATTTTTTAACTGTTAACTGAGAACATAAAGGCATAGGGCAGGGTAGCAAGCATCACAGGATTTTGCTTTTTGTACAAACCAACCATTAAGCTAAATATAAATACTCCCTTTTTTTTATTTAAGCATCCAAAAGATTCAGAGCTGCCTAAACAGGACATTATAAGAAACAAAACATCTGATTTTAGATTTAGTACTGTCTTATGAATGTTCTGTCATCAGATCCAAATTCAATTCCCTGGAGAGATCTAGGCTGAACATGCAAAGTTCAGGATCATTATACTGCCACACCAGGGGAATTGCCTGGCAGGTCCCCTGCAGTAGTTAGTTCTGCTGCAGACTGCAATGTGTGATGTAATTCCCATGCTTTGATTTCTAGATAAGGTGGATATGTCCTGGCTGATCTTTTTTGTTTTAGAGTTGTGTTTCTACGAAATAGAATTAGTTTTATAGGATTCTCAAGGGAGCTGAACCTGAATAATGAAAAACTTCATCAAGCTAATCAAACAACTCTCCAAACTGTCCTGATACCATACTGCAAAAAGAAAAATTAAAATTTCCACCATCTGTTTCCAGAAGCATGAGTACTGTACAGAGGAGATGGGAATGCAAAGAGGTACAGCTGAGAGTATAGCTGCACAAACAGCATTGTGCACTGTCCCCCCATCATCCCTGGAGAGCCTCCCTCAATGTCTCTCTCTGTGCCGCTTCCACCCACTGCACTTCGCTGCCGTACGGGGAATTTCCAGGTGGCTCTTTAGATGCAAAACACTGCCACAATATAGGTTATTTTTCACAGTAAGCCCACTCCAGTGGCAACAGCCCACATGGCTGTTCTTTAGAATTCAGCATAGCATTGCTAGAGTCATTGCTGGAGTGTAGATTAAGTGTAAATTAATGAAATATTATAAACCAAGCTCTAATGTCCCAGAGGATGATGAAAATTTGCCCAGAGAAGTGCTCTGTTCGTCCGCTGCCTCTTCAGTCTCCTTAAGGTTACCATGCCCAGAATTTAGCTCCTGATGAACAAGACTCAAATTCCATGGTAAAATGATAAGTCAAAAAACCCTGTAGTAATTCCCTGTGCTGAGTGGGTAATTCACAGCAGATTAGGAGCATGCTATTACACATAATAGTGACTACTGTACAGAGGACAAGAAGAGGCTGTTGTTATTTGCTATCAGTGTCCTGTCTGACAAGATTCTTGGTTCTTGATCATATTTCATTAGAAGCTACTGTTGTGCACACCTTCCTCTCCACACGTGTGCTCAGCACATCCCCAGCCCCAACACACCTTGCAGCAGCCTGACCGCACTCCTGGGAGGAGCCAGCCTGCTCCTTAACGGGTTGTTTTAACAGATCCTCCTTGTTCCTTCCAATAGCCTCTTCCTTCCTTCCGTATTCCAACACTTAGTAACTTTTGCAGGTCTCCCAGCGCTTCAGCATTTCTCAGGATTTCACCACCCAAATCCGAGGCTGTGCTCCCCTTTCACAGCACCCCAACTTGTACTGCTTCATGCAAGCAAGCCAAGGAATGCCATGCATACCTAGATTGACCTCAGTCTCAGCCCCCATATCTTTCCACTGCATGCCTTGGCAGTAACAAATAGGGAGAATAATGGTTTCATCCCCCCTGGAAAACCTGCCATCATAATGCAAACCAATCCACTGATAGTTTTCCTGGCTTCTTGTCCACTGAGAGATACAAGGGACATTTATACTGGTCTGGGATTGTTCTTTCAAACAGACATTTAAAATCTTTGTTTTGATGTGAAAATTATATATATAATATATATATGATATATATATTATATATATAATATTATCACAGAAATAAAATATATAATTATCACAGAAACATTAGAAACAAAATTAGTTTAATACAACCCTATTCCAAGGTGATTTCTTTAGACCTACAAATTGTCTCTGAATGTTAAGGAGTTATTTCTATTTTTTGGACAAAGATCTGCATCACTTGCTTTAAGTAGCCTTGAACTACCCAAAATATTTTTTTGTTAATAGCCATTAATTAAAATAACATTGAAAACCATTTTCCTCCTGATGCTAATAAAAATTATCCTCAAACCATAGCTTGAACAGTCACCAAAGATTGATTGAATCAGATTGATTCTTTAGCAGGAGAAATATCTCATGCATTTGACACTTGCTGTAAAAGCAGCAGCTACTGACACTAGAGAGATTGCTTGAATAGCTGTAAATTAATCAGATTTAAAGACTGCCTTTGGTAATTTAATCTGTACAAGGGAACTAAGTCCTAGCTCTAGCCCTGTGAAAAAATATCAGACTCTGTATTTTGAAGGTCCCTGATGGTGACCTTGACTTGCTTCTAAAATGAATTCTTTGTTCAAAAGATCATTCATCGTCCATAGGAGCTGAAGGTCTCCTGTTTATCTGGAGACCCAGACATTTCTGGCTGTTTCAGGGTCTCCCCTAGTTGCAGTGTGAGACTTGATGTACAGCAGGGCAGCACTTCTTAGGATGCTTCCCTTTATATAAAAGGCTGCCATTTGACAGGAGTCAAAATTTACTAGCTTGTTATCTGAAATGCGAGGCATCTGTGGAGGGTAGAGCAGCCTTGGAAAATTCTAGATGCCCTTTCACACATGGAAGTAATTTTTCAACTGGCTAGTAAAATATCAATAATGGCTTTCATTAATATCACTGTCATTGTCTAGATAAACCACTCTGGAGAAGATACACTGCCTGTCTTTTCTGAAAACACTGAATTACACTAAACAATAATTTTCCTTATTTCAAATGGAGTGATTCAATTAGTAATAATCTATATCCCCAGAATCAATGGAAGGAGTCCACAAAAGGAACTACAAACCACCACCAATAAACCTGTTCAACCCTTGCACAACAAGGCACCGTTGCTGATCAGGACATTCATCCCTATGGCTTTTCATTTATAATGAGCACTTACACCTGAGGCAGGAGCAAAGGACATTTGAGAGTGCTTGTGGTTTGGCTGTTGGTTAGTTGATGGAAGATGCTATTTCTTTGAGAATTTATTCAATAATACATATATTTTGATTACCTCAACAGGATTCTGAGAAGATGCAGAGATTTAAGGACGCAATTACAGCTCAGACTAATTACTCTATTCTGGTGAGTAAAACCTTCTGCCTGTCAGAATAAGAACTAGTTGGCTTTTTCAAGAAAAGTATGAAGATACAATCACTAACTATTTTAGCACTAGAAAAATGTAGGCATCTCCAAATAGGAAAGTATCTGCCATGTCATCCTTATGAACATTTCCAATGGCCCAAATAGCCACATTCAACTACCCTCACCTTAAAAAATACTTCCTCAAAAGCAAGATAACAAAATTCTGCATCAGACATAAGTGGAAAGACCATGCTCTCTGGCATTAGCTCTCTTATCTAGCACTGTCATGGAATATGACACTCCGTGTCCAACCTACTCCCAGTGAATGTGCATCTGTGAAACACTTGTGATTTATGTCTGTGTCATTGTTAGGAGTCCCAGCCACAAACTGGGATTGCACTAACCTTGGTGTTGTGCAAATTAAAAATTCAAAAACGGCCTCCATCTTAAAGAGCTTGCAATCAAAATTTCATAAAGGGATTTTTTTTTATAAATACTGAAGAGTTTGGAAGGGAGAACAGTAGCCAGGTGAAAGAAATCTTTCTTCTTCGTGCTCTGTGATCAACATGAAATGTTAGCCATGAAGACAGCCAAGCAAAATGGCAGTGAGGTGTTCAGTGGGGTATGACAAGCAGAAAGCCTTATCAGAGATGAGAAGTATGCAAGGCTTAAAGCACCCAACTTAACTATGTAACACGCATGAAAAATAAAGTTCCAACTGCAAAATTCAATTCCCCCAAATTTACGGGTATTTAGACCCATAAACTATATCATTGCAGATAATCTCAAGACAGTTGTAACACATCAGGAACATTTTTTTCCCCCTAAAACTAACCATCTATGCATTTTCTTATATTTCTCTTCACTAGAGGAGAGAGGTCCCTATCTGTGATCTGATCCTGAGATGGACTGGTATTCTGGAAAGTGTATTCTGGTATTCCAAAGTGCCATTTCTAATAAAGGTCATTAACAATGAGGGAATGATTATAGCAAGTTCTGTTTTAAAGACCTGAATGCAGTGTCTAATTAAAGGAAGAGATGTCCTCCAGTGAAGAAATCAGTTTAGTATCAAATACAACTCATTTTCTCTTGATTAAAAATGAGACAATTCAGCCTGAGTAATGCTGTACATCCCACTGTGCCAAGACAAAGCACAGACTTATTCTATAAACAACTTAGTAATAACACTCATGAAATTAATAAATGTTAATAACCAGCTATGATAAGTGAATTTGCTACCTATGGTTTTGCCTCAGACCTTTGCCTAATAAGCCCACATTGTTGAATGCTGTTTAGATATTCATAATATGCAAGAAATCATTCACTTTCAGAGGTGGTTTCAAAGGGAAACTCAGAGCACTGGACAAGCAAAGTGTTGCTCTCAGGCAGGAACTGTGCCTAAAACTGTGAAACAAAAGAAGCAGGGAAGAAAAACAATTCTGTGTTTCAAGCCTTGTGCTGAGAACCCACATCTTAGAAACTGATACTCCATGTAATCCGTACAGAGAGGGGAAGTCTCACTTCAGGGCAACTGTCTCACCTGAACCATCTCAGGGTAACTTCACAATGAGCACAACATACTCTAGGTCTACTAGGTCACAACCAATGGAATTTCTGTACATCTCTTAAAAAACCAACCAAAAAAAAAAAATCTCCCCTCCAAGCTCCAAATCATTTGAGATCCAGAAACTGTTATAAAATTCAGCCTCCGGTGCAGCTCATGGGAAAATTTTAAAACTGCAGTTGGAAAAATAATTTAAATTTAAAAAGCTCTCCAGGTATTTCTACTCACCAAGCTTCCCCTTCTTTCTCAGAATAGCAAAATGTAATTGTTGTGCCTTTAAACTCTGGGTAAGACTTAGATGGTCTGACTAAATTGTGTGTAACAGACTGAAATGTAATAGCTCCTAAGAAAAACAAAAAAAAAAATCTACTTCATAAAACAAAAAGCAATTTACTGATTTTATTTCCCCTTGTTAAGGCTTACTAGTAGCATTGCTATCTTAAATGTGGAGCTCTAAAATTCAATTTAGCACAGTTTTTTCCTATGCGTTGACTCACAGTTTATTTCGTTAGCCTGTCTCGGCCTCTCCTCAGACATGACATTGATCTATGTTGCAAAAATGTCATTGCTAACAGCCTTATAAATCTTGTGTGATAGCAAAATATTTCCTTTGATTATCAAGTTGGTTTCCCTGTATGGGAAAAAGAACGTAAGCACAGCCCTGATGTATGCCACCTTCCTGCAAGCATCCTTGCTCTGTCTGGGCTGATGAACAAATAGTCTGGGCTGATGAACAAATAGTCTGGGCTGATGAACAAATAGCCCCCTTACCAATGGGTGCTAGTCCTTAATAAGCCAAAAAGACTGCACTCCCAACCCCCTGCTTCAGGTGCTTACCAATGGTTAAAGCTATTCTCCTTGTAAGAGGAAAAGCAAACTTGTGCTTTTCTTTAATTTATTTTTTTTAATCTTTAAGAGGAAAACCAAGCTTGTGCTCTCTTTTAAATCCTGCCTTTTCTCAGGCTGCTTGTTTCCCTTGTTACAAGGGGCCTGTGGCACAGGGATATCAGTTCTGCTCTCAGTGTAGTACAATGTCCCTGGTTCAGCATTCTCTTCCTGTATGACTTCTGCCTGGATCAGGGATGAGCTACAGCTCAGTCCACAAAATCAGTGCTTTCACCAGCAAGAACAAACCTGGACTGAAGGATTTTAAACGCAGATATTATCTGAGGCAATTCCTACCTGACCAAATTTTGATTTGGTTTCCTAAGAAAACAAAACCCTGTAACTATCCTGTCTGCCAGTCTCCACTGCTCATTTTTGATCCCGTCAGCCATCTTCAATCACATTTGCTAGCAAGGCAAAGATCCTAAAGGGAATAAATCCCTTAAGTCTGGAGCATTAGGGAGCTGGGCAGAGCAGAGACCCAAGCAGGGCAAGCTGATGGCAGAAAGCCTCAGTGCAGGCTCAGCAGCAGTTCTTGTACCTGGCCAGCCAGCCACCAATGTGCCACTGAGGCCAACATTCAGCCCCCACATGTGCTTCCTATCACTTTGCCTGAGATCCTCAGACAGGAGAGGGAATTGGGGACATTCAAGAGCAGGGTCAGGGGGCAAGCATGGCTGGTTCTGCGTTGGGGATCATGGTGAGCAGAGACAGGGGCAAGCAGGACAGCAAGTAGAGACTGCTGAGGGCCTCTTGCTTGTCAAGAACTTTATTCTCCTTTGTTAAACCCTGTTTAATTTAATCTTGGACTCCTGGTACCACAACTGTGGTACCATCCAACTATGCTGTCCTACACTTACTGTTTCCAATTGCCTCACTGGAGTGAGGGCTCAAGTAATGAGATATTCCAGCTCTGCAATGAAGCCAACACAGGGAGTGGGGAAAGAAATTGGATATTTTGGCAGTGAATTAAATAGCAATGGCATTCTATATCCCCAACTCCAGTCTTCTCAATCAGTGGGATATGCTAGTGGATCTGTGAAGGATCACTGGCAAATCTATCTCTTATTCTATCTCTTATTCTGCTATATTTTTTGTGGACACCTACCAGATCTTTGGATCTAGATTCTATGGAATGACATATGCTTTAACTGCCAGAGTGAGATGTAGGTACCAAGGCAATGAAAGCTTAATTTGTTCCAATTTGGAGGTGTTTTGGAGCCTTCTATCTTAAAATATAACCCTCATGATGCGCAGAAAATTCCAAAACATGCTCAGAAATTTCCGGTGTCCCATATGCTCCCCTCAGCACCCTTGGAAGCCCAGCCCATGATATTCAGCTCTGAGAGATGATAAACACCCAGATAACATCAGCACATAATACATCCCAAGACCGTTTCCATTCTAATTTTTACATCTTCAGAGCACCACATGAATTTCTAGTTACTGATCCTCTGCAAAGTACATACTCAGAGTAATATCTGAACATTACAGGCTTTACATCACTCTAACCAAGTTCATCAACTCTGACCAGAAAACTAGGCAGTAACAGCCCAGAAAATGCCTCCAAACTCAGTTAAATGCTGGTGTCTTATCACCCTGTACACAGGCTATTACTGGAATGGCAATAGACAATCACCTGCTGGGGCTCAGAGAGGTGGCACGGGAACACTTCAAGGAACTGCCAGAGATATTTACAGATGAGACATATTTGACAAGCAATCGATTCATCCTCTCAACCAGCCAGGTGAGTTTCTCCTGCTCACTGGTCTTGCTAAGCAAAGGCTAATTCATTTGTGTTCTGCCAGACCTTGTGGCTCACCATGAAAACAATGTAAAAAAGTAAAACAAACAAAAGTGGTGTCATCGAGAACCATCAAGAAGTCTGCAAATTGCTCCACATTTTTAGTCCAGTTTTAGTCCATCAGCACACTAAATCAGCAACATAAGCACAGTAAAGACCGAATGGAGTTATCACTTCATTTGCAACATTCCAGAGCCCTTCCTGGAAATTCTGGAAATGCACATAAACAAACTCAGAAAAAATTCACAGAAAGGCTCAGAGTTCCCTCAATTTCCATTGTACTTATGTTCCCATTCCCTTTCTTCTCCTCCTTCTCCCAAGCTCACAGCTCTAGTGCGAAGTGACAGTACAGCCACAAGCCAGGTGGGCTCCCACTCTGAGAAACAAAAAGCCGAGAGCCATGAGGACATTTTACTCTTAAAAGTAGCTGTGTTTGAAATCTTTGAGAGCCTTTGGTTATTCACTGTAAGACTACAACCCATGCAGACATACAACTTAGATTTACAGACATTTCAGACGTACAGATATTTATGGATTTACAGTTATTTGCACATTCAAAGATACTCTAAGAGTCAACACCTCCTACATTTAATGTTCTGAATAAGGAAACATCCTTATGGCATACAGCCTAAAAATTAAGTGTTTCATTGCATGTAGTAGTAGTCCTAATGAAAGAAGGAATCTTTCATTAATGTATGAATTCATTAACTGAAACACTAACCCAACTGCACAGACTGGAACTATACAACAAAAGAGAGTTATAATATCATGCTACAGCATAAAACCTTCATAAGTAATTTGATCTTGGCATAATGTTTGTAGGCTTTCAGACATGAGTGAATGTAACCAACACACTACTACATAAATTCTCTGAGAAACTATCCATGAGCAAAGAGTGCTTCTGAATAGCTTTATGGCCTTCGGCTGTTGCACAGCAAATTTATCTGACAATTCTATGGCTCTATTAGCAGGACTAATGGCTTGTTCTACACCATTAAAAAGCCAAATGTCTTTTGTGAAGGCTCATGTACACAAAGTCTGAAACATATAGGTTTCTAACACATCTTTTATTTTCTGCAGTAGAAAGTGTTTCACTGCCTTATTATGCCATGATTAAACTGTAGTGTGATAGAATTAGAGCATCTAGATGCATTAAAATATTTTTATACATCATCCCAATTATAAACTATTATTAGAAATGGACAATACTAATATCTATAATTTAATGCAGTCTTCGCATTACAAGTTTAACATAACCCTAGGATAACCTTAAGAAATTAAAAACCTTAGACAAGTTTTAGTTACCATGATTTTATGTATGAGAATTACATAAATCTCCTATCTGTAACAAAGCTTATAGCTTTTTAATAGCTATATAAATTAAGCAAAGAAATGCAGTCTAGCTACTTCAAACGATGCCAGTTTTTAAGTGATAGCAAACAAACAGAGCAACCAAATTCTATTCCGAGATCAGCTTTTACCGTCCAAGGTAAATCAGCTCCAGGTCTGGACTTCTGAAGCCAGTGATACTCCACAAGGGGAAATTCACCACATTACCAGCATTTGTAGCATTTGTTTATCCTTCTCCTCATTCCTAACCAGCTGATTTCAGGTCTCCTGATTAATCAGAGATCACTCCTTCCCTTCTCCCTGCAACCAGGTTCCAACTACTATGGAAATGTTCTGCTGCTATGGGCCTGTGGTGCCCAATGGATATGGGGCATGTTATAACCCTCAGCCAGAGCACATATTATTCTGCATCTCAAGCTTTAAAGAATGTAAAGAAACCTCCTCAGTCACGTTTGCAAAAGCTGTGGAAGAAAGTCTCCTAGCAATGAGAGATCTGTGCAACAAATGCAATTCTGCTGTGGCAAAGCCACCTGCTAAACAAGATGCAGCCACACAGCTGCAGAGTGCCAGCAAACACTAAGAAGATGTGGGAATTATTCTCCTGATCCACCTTATGAAGAAACATGACATAGTTGTTCAAAGGCAAGATCGTACTAGTAATAGAACAGTGTACAACCAAAGTGTCATTTGTTTCTCATTGTTGCCAATATTTACAACTCTGTGTACTAAATCTACTATTTCTTGCTTAGGAGTCAGCAAAAAAGGTTTGGTCTCCCTGGCTGAAATGAAGGAGGAAGTAATACAAGTATGTGTTGTACTACCATTTCTAACATAATTAACTTGTGCCATATTATCATCTAAAAAACTGAGTAAGTTTGTATATGACATGAATTAAATACTAAGGCACACCAATTAATTAATATCCCCTTGCAAGTAGTTCTAAAATAGTCACATCTATTCCTGAAAGATTTGCATGTAAAGAAAAAAAAAAATTCCCCTATTGGGAATTTTGAGAGTAACACTGTAAATAATACGCTGATGCCATTATATCTTGAACATTTGCATGATGGATATTTAATACCACCAGTCTATTAACTATAAAAGAAAAATTGATTGTTTTTAAGAGTGGCCACTGTGCATTTCCACAGAGATTAAAAACATAACACTAGTGTTTACATGTTACCCCAATTCAAAAATGCTGCAGAAATAATTTAGCCTTTATTCTGGTTTGCACTGGCCTCAAGCACAGTCCTATTCTGAAAGTAGCATATTGGAGACATGATCCATTACAGAGAACTGGGAGAATTTTGTCCGTAATGAATTGACTTAATTATTTCTTTCTATCAGTGAGCAAAATCCAGTCTGACAGAGCAGCAAAGCATAAGTACCATTCAGTCCTACTTAGGACCTTTTCTGTTTGCATGGGAATGAATGTAGTCACTGTGACTAGCAGGAGAGTATATGCAACCAAACAAAATCAAAGAGCAATAACTAGAATGAAGAGGCAAATTTGCAATATAAGGAAGTCTTCAAGCTGGAGCTATAAATACCAGTTTTAGAGTATTGGTACTCATATCATCTTTGCATCATCCCATGTGAAGGGATTTATAGTTTATATTTTTAATAGCATAACTAGAGTATCATATCCTGCAATATACAGTAAATTCAATTAGGAAAATAATAGAGTATCTAGTAATTTCTGTATTATGTGAGTGTTATCCTGAGGGTTTTCTCATTATCTCTTTCATTCCCTACAAATTCTTCCAAGGACTGATATTTTCAGTCACTTTCTCTCAAGCCAAAGTATGTTGCCTTACTTATAAGTATTCAGTCATCATTGTTAGAATACACCTTACTCACTGACTAAAGACACTTACCTACCAACTCCAGCGCAGATCCCTTGCTACACAAGCTGGAACACACTCTGAGGCCTGGCCAGGGATTGCTTACTTGCCTGTGGAGAGGTGGAGATATTTTTTCTTCTTTTGTAGACTGAACTAATCCCACGCTTAAGCACTCTCAAGCCTAAAAGCAGAAGAAGAGATTTATTACAATAAACTAGAGATGCAGACGTATTTCTGTTTAAGAACTCTAGATACACACTCAGTAGATTCTATATGTCTGTGCCTATTTTACTGCCTCTTTGGAGTTGCATGCATGCAATTAAGCAGTCTGCTGGATAAAGGATATTCATAACCCCATAAGTAAAGCACAGTGGGCCTGATAATCAATTGGAGAAAAGTCAGTTATGTTGGAGTAAATCAGCTATGATGACTTACAGACATTAAGAGCTGGGCTCATTTCTTTAAAGTTATTATGTTTCACTTTAAAATATGATTCATTACTTCGTAAGCTTTGGTTCAAATCAAAGATAAAAATCTATTTTTAGATTATATAAATAATATTATGGCATAAAATCTTCCCCAAAGTTATCATAAAATGGTTTAGGTTGGAAGGGACCTTAAAGATCATCTCGTTCTCACTTCCCTGCCATTAGACCAGGTTGCTCAGAGCCCCATCCAGCCTGGCCTTGAACACTTCAAGGGATGAGGCATCCACAACTTCTCTGGGCAATCTGTTCCAGGGCCTCACCACCTTCACATTAAAGTGCTTTCCTAACGTCTAATCTCCTCTAATCTAAAAGTTAGGAGGTAAAAATAAATAAAAATCAAGAAAACTGCCAGTTGAACCAAATATTCACTTAAAGAATACGCTGTTCAAAATATAACTTTTAATTGTTCCTATACTATAATTATGAACATTTCTTTAGAACATTCTTGGTAATTTTTCTTTGTCACATTTCACTACAAAGGCATTCTTCATTTTTAACATAAATGTAGCACTACATCTTTTCATAGAATTTTATGCTTAAAATTATAATATTTGAAATGTATAACAATACTGTAAATATTTATTTGATAATTTATTCATTTTCTTCTAATTAAATACATAATTTTATTTTGTATTCCTACTTATATAGGTACTGATAGTTGTTTGTAAGTATTACCTGTCTCTTATTTTACTTTTTTGCCTGGAATTTTAACAGCAGCTTAGACACTGTACTCAACACAGTCACTGTGAGAATTCAGGCTGCAACTACACCCACCCCTGAAACGTTATTCCAGTTTATCATTAAGAGCCCCTTACTTGTCTACAGGTGCCATAACAGGTGTTTTAGATTCTCCAACTCTGCAAAATACTGGTAGTGGAAGATACTGACACCATATTTTTACTTGAGGTCCAGTGACCACCCATCCTTCCCATTTATTTAGCTAACCATTCCAGACTTGTATCTTAGTGATCTGGTTTTAGTATTCAGCCTGAACACCTGAAAGGAGCAGCTTTGATGAACTCACTCCCTCCAGAGGAAGCCATTTGTGCACATGCTTTTCCTTAGCCACTACCCCTGCTAAAAGCACTACCTGCAAAGTACTTGACTTCGTGCAAGAACCTTCAGACTCAGTTCAGGTCTGTTTAAATTGGAGAGTCCTGGTTAAATTACAGATGGATAAAATTCACAGGGCATCACAAACTTCTCTGTTTGACAGCAGGAGCTTCCTAAGGGACTGTGCTGCTTCTCAGTTAACAGAACCCCATACACCTGTGTGGGATGATCTCATACTGCAGCTGCATCTGTGAAGGATTTCAGGAAATAGGTAGCTTTTTTACATTCTTATTTAAAATTATTTGTATTATACAAATGAAGTTACTTTCTGAAGTTTAAAAATACACACTTCTATGCACTTATGGAAGTCAAATGTGAAGCTTTTAAAATGTTTCTAACCAGAAAACTGCGGAATAGATTGTTCAGTATAAAAAGAGAGAAAATTTTGATTGACAAACCAAGTGTAATTACATTAATGTAACAAGTGGCAATGATTTAATGAGCCTCTTGGTGGGACCCGGGACACACAGCCCCCCTGCAAGAGAACTTGGAGAAGGTAATTGTTTTGCTCTCTCCGTGGGCGTACACCACCGTTCACGCAGTGCTGGGATGTAGGAAATTAAAAAGCCAATTTTTTTCGTGAAATTTTGTATTCACAGCGAGCAAAAGCAAAAGACGCTTGAGTTCAAAACAGGAGTATTTCAAGGGTGTAAAAGCCCGACCTCGCTCCTTTGACAGGAGTGCTGCCAGAGTCTCTGTGCCACGTGTAACTTGGCAGGACGTGGCTGTGACAACACAGCGTATGAGTTGCAGACGACATAGAAATATTTTAGCGATACTTTTATTTTTATAAAAAAAAAGTATAGATTTATGACAAATGTAAATGTGTGTTTATAGCACATGTTGTTCCTGTTCTGTTCTGTCTCTATCGAAATATATTTATCTGTCTATATCGATATATACGCGCCGAAGCGTACGCTGGTAACGCGAGTTCAGCTCGCTCGCAGACGGAGCTTCGCACCGCAAATAAAAGCCACTAGATGAAAGACCTTTGTCGAGTTTTTCTGCCGGGCAGCCCTGGAGCCCCCGAGCCCCCCTGGCCCCGACACAGGGACCCTCAGGGGCGGGGGAGCCTCTGGGACCGCACCCACGGCGGCTCCCGGCGGGTTCCTGCCGCTCCCTCGCGTCCTGGCACCAGTCACAGATTCCAGGTAGCCGTGCCGTAGGGAGGGGTCTCGTAGCGCACGGCGAGCAGGCTGCGAAGGGGCTCTGGCAATTGTGCCAGAGCGAGAGGAGGAAAGAGCTGCTCCTCAAACACGCCTCAGAAAGCACAAACACCTCCATCTTTTGTGTTTGCTAAAATAAGCTCCCATTACAGTGTGTATATATTTTTTCTTTTCCAGTTGCACAAACTCATTAAAAACGCAGTCTGAAATAAACTCATAAAGATGAAAACGTTTAACCCCCAAATTTATCCACAAAGCAAAGTACTTGAGAGTAAAAAGTAACATTTGTTGCTTACAACTCAGCTATTATTTGCAGCAACCAACACAACGCAGGCAGCAGGTACCCCCAGGGTCGGAGCAGCTGTGCCACGTTTTGGAGCTCCGGCATCGGCAGGTGAGCTCCGCTCGGAGCGGGGCCGAGCCGGCTGTGCTGCTCCGGGCACTGCTGCGGGTGTGGGGCGGCTCCACGGCAGCTCCAGCAGAAGAGCAGCGCCTCGGGGCATCGCTGAGCTAGCGAGCGCTGCAGAACTCTGCTGTCCGTACCTCAGGTTGCAGCGATGCATCACACACAGAGGAGGGTTGTAGCTCTTTTTTTTTCTAATTCACCTCGTTGAGTACTGGTGTGGTCTGTTTCCTGTTTATTAGGGAACGAGCAACACTTTTCCGCTGTTGCTTTCCAGTCGTAAGAGGGCACATAATAAAAATTTCTGCCTACCAAAACGAATCTAAGGTTACAAGACAAGTCAAATTGTATGTGTGTGATCTCAGGTATTCAAATAAGTAAAATTTTGTCATTATAAAGGCTTTAGATCACATAGAGGTACCAAAAAAACTATATATATATATAAATATATATATACACACATACACAGTATCAGATAAATCACTATTTGCTTGACACTGGAAACTTGAGAGCATGTGTTAATGCAATGTATGCACCACTGGCAACTCATTCAAGTTCTCTAACTGGGGTTGGTAGATCATTGCAATGTACCTGACACGGACTGAGAGAGACCAGGCCCTCACCTGGGGAAACTGATAGGGTGGGCTTTATGATTTAGAGCCCACA